TGCCTTATTAGGCCCCGGTTTCTAAACTGTTTTATTTTATCTTTGACTTCAAGTTAGTATGTTATATCCTATTCTTGTGCCTAGGTTTGAATACAGACAATTTATTATTTTGTGCTGAATGTACTTTTTCCTACACTTGAATTGTTTTGCTTATATTCAGGCCCTGGAAGATGCCTTTTTGGCTATTGATGCCAAACTGACCACTGAGGAAGTCATTAAGGAGCTGGCACAAATTGCAGGGCGACCCACTGAGGATGAGGATGAAAAAGAAAAAGTGGCTGATGAAGATGATGGTGAGTATGGTATAATCATATAAGATTATATGATTATATAAATTATATAATTTATGTATCTATTCTAAGAGAGGATTATTTCCTAGGGACCTGGGGAGTCCTCCTATTAAGGAACCCTATGGCGTTCTCTTGCACTACCTGTGGTTTTGAAAAGAAGGGAGACAACCTTTTTGAGTGCATAGTGTCATGACTGTAAAGCATTTTTACATACATTATCTTTTGTTGTGATGGGGATCTTCCTGGTTCCTGCTAGTATTTATGTGACAATTTTTCAGGACTAGAGCAGTCATTGGCCCCAGCAGCCATTAGGCTTAGGGCATAGGTTTAGGCTAGCATTGTAGACTTCCTATGTCCTTAGCCAGAGTAGGGTTTCTGACATCCAATAATGAATGAGAAGTGAAAGGTGAAATGTAACTGTTGTTCCTTTGACTAAGAAGGGGGTGAAAACAAAGACCAAAGGAAATCTGTGGAGGCAGATATTACTTAAAGAGAAGGAAACAAGGGGCATTCTTCTCAGACTTGAAAAGTGAGAAGAGTCCTAGGAGTGGGAGGTTGTGGGAAGTTGGAACCCAGGCTGCAAAGCCTGTGGAGGTAGTGAAGGAGTGATCCCTTGAGGATTTTGGCCTGGGGGCCCTGATTTAGCCTCTTCCCTGCAGTGGACAATGAGGAGGCTGCACTGCTGCATGAAGAGGCTACCATGACTATTGAAGAGCTGCTGACACGCTACGGGCAGAACTGTCACAAGGGCCCTCCCCACAGCAAATCTGGAGCTGGGACAGGCGAGGAACCAGGCCAGGGCCTCAATGGGGAGACTGGACCTGAGGACTCATCTAGGGAAACTCCTTCAGAGGAAAATGGCCCCACAACTAAGACCCATACAGGCCTTTCCTTCAACTCGGAACGTGGGACTGAGGCAGGCCAAGTTGGTGAGCCTGGCACTCCCACTGGTGATGCTGGGCCCTCCTGCTCTTCAGCCTCTGACAAGCTGCCTCGAGTTGCTAAGTCCAAGTTCTTTGAGGACAGTGAGGATGAGTCAGATGAGGCGGAGGAGGAAGAGGAAGACAGTGAGGTAAGGGCCTGTGGGGTAGGCAGAAGCTGAAGTTGCAGAGAGGGCCTATTTGGTCACCATCCCGTATCTTTCAGCTCTCTTTTCCTTCTCCTGTTTTGACATCATCATCTAAGATCCACTGTATTCTAAACTTTAGCCTTCTTGAATTCATTATTTCTACCATCACAGGTACCACGGGCCCTCTTACCTCTTTCTTTGTTGATACTATAAAAAAATTGATCTAGTTCTGGTCTTTAAGAATCTTATCTCCTAGCTAGAGAACAAGATAGTTGAAGGTGTATTTGGCTGAGAGCTATGGCCTTCCCGCTTGTGACTGCTGAGCCCAGTTCAAGATGGCAGTTATAACCATCCTAACCACCTCCCCTTCCCCCCACATTTTCCTGTCATGTTCATGCAGTTGCATCTTAAAGTATGCTGAGGACCTGTGTTCAGTTAGGGCCTCTTTGTTCTGGGTATGAGTTGGAGAGAGGGAGAGATGGGGTCATCCCAGACTCAGGAGCTTGGGATCCTCCCTCTGGCAGGAATGCAGTGAGGAAGAGGATGGCTATAGCAGTGAGGAAGCAGAGAATGAAGAAGATGAGGATGACACCGAGGAGGCAGAAGAGGATGATGATGAAGAAGAAGAGATGATGGTGCCTGGGATGGAAGGCAAAGAGGAGGTATGTGGGGAAGGGGAGCAATGAGTCTGGAAAAGCCAAGAGGCAGGTATGAATCCCCTGATTTTGGTTTTGGGACAGGGGTCCCCTTGATATCTTAGTACCAAAGCCATGGTGATAGGTGGATTTATTCTGCAAGGTGAACTAGATGGTGAGTCTTTTGAGTAGAAGTACCTCAAAGGAGAGAGCACGCTGTTGTCTCTGGAAAGATTAAAGCTATGCTCCTCCTGCTGTTTGTTAAAGCTCTCCTGGATGTCCCTGTGAGAGTAGAAAACATAGGTGAATGGTCAGAGGAATACCAATGAAAAGCTTATGACCAGGAACATCGACCATGCTTCCTTTTTCTCTTTTAAGCCTGGATCTGACAGTGGCACAACAGCAGTGGTAGCCCTGATACGAGGGAAGCAGTTGATTGTAGCCAATGCAGGAGATTCTCGCTGTGTGGTGTCTGAGGCTGGCAAAGCTTTAGACATGTCCTATGACCACAAACCAGAGGATGAGGTGGAGCTAGCACGCATCAAGAATGCTGGTGGCAAGGTCACCATGGATGGGCGAGTCAACGGGGGCCTCAACCTCTCCAGAGCCATTGGTAAGGTGCAAGAAAATATGGGAGAGTCCTCTGGGGTCTCACCATCTGTCCCAGACTACCTCATAGCACTTTCTAATTGGCATAGTCCTTATACTTTTCATATCTATTACCTCTGTCCTTAAACATCTCTGAATTAGGTAAGATAGGCATAATTATCTCCACTACCTTTTGGATGAAAAAGGTTAGTGATTTACTTAAGATTTAGCAACCTGATGACAGGGCTGAAACTAGGAAAACTAGAACTCAGTTTTCCATTCCACTAGATTATGGTGCTTTTATTTTTTTATTTTTGGGTGCAAATTTACATAGCAAACTTGTTTTACATTCAACAGTTCATACACATCTGGTTTCATGGCCCCAATTACTGTCCCCAACCATAAAAAACTCTTGTTCGTGACCATCCCCTCCCTGTTCCCCTCTCATCTGTGCATTCATGTGATTATGGTACTTTTAAAGAAGGGAAAAATGAATGGCAAAGCTTGACCTGCCTCAACACAAGTGTGTGTGAAGTACTACCCAAACTATTCCAGTCAACCAAACATTCTTTACTTTAGGTGACCACTTCTACAAGAGAAACAAGAACCTGCCACCTGAGGAACAGATGATTTCAGCCCTTCCTGACATCAAGGTGCTGACTCTTACTGATGACCACGAATTCATGGTCATTGCCTGTGATGGCATTTGGTGAGCACTTGAGGAATGCCCTAAAATTCCTTTTCTGCAGCATTACTTCTTTTCTAGAGCTCTGAGCAACTTTGGCTTTATGATCCCCCTCATGGCCCTAGATCAGCACCTTTTTTCAAGCTGATCTACGATTGAAGCCTGTATCCCTTTTGGTGAGTCAAGACCCCCAAGCTCAAGGCAGAGCTGAGGAGAATCTCTAGGTGTTTAGATTGGCCTGTGCCATCACCTCTCTCCACTCTCCTCTGTCTGCCTTGGTGGAATTAAAGAAGATTCTGACTCTTGTTTCTGACTTCAGGAATGTGATGAGCAGTCAGGAAGTTGTAGACTTTATTCAGTCAAAGATCAGCCAGCGTGATGAAAATGGGGAACTTCGGTTACTGTCATCCATTGTGGAAGAGGTGAGTCTCAGGATGGAGGGGGAGAGAGTGGCTGGTCTGCATAGCCAAAGGTTTCTCTTTTAGTCTGAACTGAGACCAGGATCTAGGAGAACCATTAATTACTGACAGATGCCAAACCTTGACAAAATATTTTGCATCTTCCTTCATTTCTGTGACTTAGCCTTAAGCATCATACACTAGCAGGGAGAGCCAGCTCTCTTGTGGAGTTTTAGGTTTTGTCCAAGAAGGTGTTCAAACCCCATGGCTGAGTTGCTCTGTCCCTTTTGCAGTTGCTGGATCAGTGCCTGGCACCTGACACTTCTGGGGATGGTACAGGGTGTGACAACATGACCTGCATCATCATTTGTTTCAAGCCCCGAAACACAGCCGAGTTCCAGCCAGAGAGTGGGAAGCGGAAACTGGAGGAGGTGCTTACCTCTGAGGGGGCAGAAGAAAATGGCAACAGCAACAACAAGAAGGCAAAACGGGACTAGCAGTCATCTACACCCCTGCCCACCTAGACTGTTTTCTGAGCCCTCCGGACTGAGACTGAGTTTTGTCTTTTTACTTTAGCCTTAGCAGTGGGTATGAGGTGTGCAGGGGGAGCTGGGTGGCTTTACTCAGCCCATTCCAAAGAGGGCTCTTCCTCCACACAGCAGCCTAGGAGCCTCTGCTGTCCTCCCCAGCCTCCTCGTTGCTCCTTTGGGCTCATCACCGGGTCTGTGCCTGTGCTGTTGTGTTGGAGGGAAGGACTGGCAGTTCTGGTTTTTACTCTGTGAACACTTTATTTAAGGACATTCTTTTTTATTGGCGGCTCCATGACCCCCCAGCCGCTTGCACCCGCTCTCTGTACACTTTCAATCAACACTTTTTCAGACTAAAGGCCAAAACTAATCTTGCCCGTGGTGTCCTTTTTTCTACTGCTATCCTGTTCTGGTGCAGAATGCCCTGGTCTTAGACTTGGCCCCACTGAGTGAGTGAGTGAATGAGTAGGAGGGAGGAGCAGAGCTACCGGCCTGCCTGCCTGGCGTTACGGCTCATCCTCGCCCCCTCCTGGAGTCAGGAATAATAAATTACCAGTTCCTCCAGGGAAGCGTCAGGACTAGGCTGCTGCTCCCAAAACTGAAACCTGGGGCAGCATTTCTTTTGCCCGACTCATCGTCCGGTTTGTGTCTCTTGATTGGTTCGCTCCTTTTCTTACGTCATAATCACTTCCTGGTCACGCTGTGGAAGTCCTTGCCGCTGAAGCTTTTCACGACTACGCGTCCCGTGTAGCTCTGCGGTAGCGGAAGCGGAAGCGAGTACGGAGGTACCAGCTGGTCTCCGTAGGGGGGGGGGTTGGGGGCTCCATGAATGGACGCGGCGGCAGGAGCGGCCTGAGCTGGGCGCCGGGGCCACGGCCGGGGGCTGCCCGGGGCCCGCGCCGCCATATGGGGAGGGCCCAAGGGCTCTGAGAGGGAGGGAGGGAGGGTCGAGTTGGGAGGGGTGGGGCCAGGCGGCCGCAGGCCGGAGGCGCGTCGGGCTGGAGCCGGTCACGATGCCCCGAAGGAAGCAAAGCCACCCGCAGCCCGTGAAATGTGAGGGGGGTCAAAGGTTAGGGGTCAGGGGCCGCGAAGGGGAAGGAGCAGGGGTGAGGTCAGTGAAGTGGGTTCAGGTCGGGGTGGAGAAGGACTCCAGAGGGATGAGGTGGGCGATCTGGACTTCTAGCTTCCTACCTAGGTACTGAGAGAACTGGAGAGGGTCGAGTACGGGAAGTACGGTCCATGAGGGCCGGCTCCCCGCGGTGCGGATGGTGGGCACGGTTCCTGAGGGAGAATCCACACTCCTTCCCCTCTCCAGTGGATACCGAAGATTCCCTTGAGGAAGGACCCGGGGCCCTGGTGTTGGAGAGTGATTTGCTACTAGGCCAGGATCTGGAGTTTGAGGAGGAAGAGGAAGAGGAGGAAGATGACGGCAACAGCGACCAGCTCATGGGCTTCGAGAGAGACTCTGAAGGTGGGTTTGGGGGGACTTAAGGATTGGTGGCCATCGGGACCCCAGCCCCCCCCAGAAGACAGGTTAGAGTTTAGTGCCAGGGCACAAAATACCATTTCCTGACACAACTTAGGGCTGATTCGGTTTAGATTTGGATTTTCACTAGATTTCTTCATTTGCCTAATGGTCTAATTAGCTTTGTTGCATTGTTGAAGGTCTCTAGTTTTCACAACTCTGTAGCTTGGTGTGAAGTTCTGGGGCCTGACCCAAAGGTAGTATGAATAGAACTGGGTAAACCACATGGAGCAACTGGTTGGAAGTAAGTGCCCTTTTAATAACTTTGTTACCTCTCTGTTGCTTATTCTTATGTGCTTTTAAGAGGTTCAGGAAAACCGCTTCTCTGTATTTATTTGTCTAATGTAACTCCCTTTTCACCTGCAGTGTGAGCGCCTTTTGTATTGAGCTTTCCATGTCTACGCACAACTACTCCTGCATTCAACAGTTGTGATCTTAGGATGACCTCATTTTAATTTGATGTACCGTCTGTCTATTCACTTGTGAAGGGTGTTTTTAAACATTGAGGGAATCCTTATCAATAAGCTTAGAAGTGGTATTACGTCTGGTACTATTTCCACCTCCCTCCAACTTCTGCCTTACTCTTGAGATACACTATTTCATTTTGTAATCAGCTCTATACTAAAAGGGGCCTTATTAATATAAGCCTTAGAAAAAGGCTTCTGGCTTCTCTGCCGTTTCTATTTTAACTTTCTTATCCCCAGAATCAGTTAATCATATTATTGATTGATTTTGGTCTGTTGTCCCTTTCAAGCTGAGTCCTAGATCTTTTCTATTCAGTACTATTTGAGACAGCTCAATCTATGGCTACTAGATGAGTTCAGGCTCAGAAGATGACAATTCATGTTGAATTTTCTGGAGTTGTTGCTGGGGAGACCTCTGTGTCTAGGAGGGAAGGGATCATTGAAACTGGAAGGTGAGGGAACAAGGAAGTAGAGAAGACTACAGATGACAAGGGGAGAATTGATTTTTGGTCTTACCCCATTAACAATGTCCTTTCTCATGTTTGTCTCACCAGGAGACTCTCTGGGGGCCAGGCCTGGGCTTCCCTATGGGCTGAGTGACGACGAATCTGGGGGCGGCCGGGCACTAAGTGCTGAGAGTGAAGTTGAGGAGCCAGCCAGGGGTCCAGGGGAGGCCAGGGGTGAGAGGCCAGGCCCAGCCTGTCAGCTGTGTGGGGGGCCGACAGGTGAGGGGCCGTGTTGTGGGGCAGGAGGGCCGGGTGGGGGGCCCCCGCTGCCCCCACGGCTACTGTACTCATGCCGCCTCTGCGCCTTCGTGTCCCACTACTCGAGCCACCTGAAGCGGCACATGCAGACACACAGCGGGGAGAAGCCGTTCCGCTGTGGCCGCTGCCCCTACGCCTCAGCCCAGCTCGTCAACCTGACGCGGCATACCCGCACCCACACTGGCGAGAAGCCCTACCGCTGTCCCCACTGCCCCTTTGCCTGCAGCAGCCTGGGCAACCTGAGGCGGCATCAGCGTACCCACGCGGGGCCCCCCACTCCTCCCTGCCCGACCTGTGGCTTCCGCTGTTGTGCCCCACGACCAGCCCGGCCTCCCAGTCCCACAGAGCAGGAAGGGGCAGTGCCCCAGCGACCTGAAGGTAAAAAATTGGGCCAGAGAACTTGGTATAGAGGTGGGTGGCACTGGGGATACTTGAATTCATAGCCCAGGTCTCACTACTCCCACAGATGCTCTACTCCTTCCAGATTTGAGTCTCCATGTGCCACCAAGTGGTGCCAGTTTCCTGCCAGACTGTGGGCAGCTACGTGGTGAAGGGGAGGGCCTGTGTGGGACTGGATCAGAACCACTGCCAGAGCTACTGTTCCCTTGGACCTGCCGGGGCTGTGGACAAGAGTTGGAGGAAAATGAGGGCAGTCGGCTGGGAGCTGCCATGTGTGGGCGCTGCATGCGAGGAGAGGCTGGAGGTGGTGCCAGTGGAGGGCCCCAGGGCCCCAGCGACAAAGGCTTTGCCTGTAGCCTCTGCCCCTTTGCTACTCACTATCCCAACCACTTGGCTCGGCACATGAAGACACATAGTGGTGAGAAGCCCTTCCGTTGTGCCCGATGTCCCTACGCCTCTGCTCATCTGGATAACCTGAAAAGGCACCAGCGCGTCCACACAGGAGAGAAGCCCTACAAGTGTCCCCTCTGCCCGTATGCCTGTGGCAACTTGGCCAACCTCAAGCGTCACGGTCGCATCCACTCGGGTGACAAACCTTTTCGGTGTAGCCTGTGCAACTACAGCTGCAACCAGAGCATGAACCTCAAACGCCACATGCTGCGGCACACAGGCGAGAAGCCCTTCCGCTGTGCCACCTGCGCCTATACCACAGGTCACTGGGACAACTACAAACGCCACCAGAAGGTGCATGGCCATGGTGGGGCAGGAGGGCCTGGCCTCTCTGCTTCTGAGGGTTGGGTCCCACCTCATAGCCCACCCTCAGTTTTGAGCTCTCGGGGTCCAACAGCCCTGGGCACTGCTAGTAGCCGGACTCTTCATACAGACTCACCCTGAACTAGGGCCTTTTCCAGGGCCTTAAGCATTAGCCCTGATCCTCATGTATCTTTTATACAGACTGACCAGAAGCCGCCACCTCCTTTATCCCCCCGCTGGCCAGGGGCTCCAGACAGACTAACTTAGGCACTATATGGACCAGCCCAAACCCCATGGACAGGGGGCCCATATGGACCAGGGGCCTTGCCTTGACTGATGCACTTCATGAGCTCAGTGAGAAGGGCACTGCTTCCAGGGGCTGTGGAGGGACTGGCTGGGGGAACTGCTCAGCCTCCCATCTGTTTATTTAACTTATTTCAATGCTTTATAATAAAGGAAACACTAACAAAGCCACGTCTACGCTGAGTTAGCACTGCCAGACACAGCTCAGCCTCCCCCTTAGCATAGCAGTCCCTGCTGTGGTCAGGGAGCGGAGGCAGTGAGGGAACCAGTGAGAGGCAGGCAGCAATCAGGCTGAGTTTAATAATGGGGAGCTGGGCCAAACCATACATAGACCTCTGCCCATCCCCTTGGCTCATGGCCCCAAGAGTCAGAAGCAGCCAGGGAGAGCTTAGTTCCTCCCCAAGGCAGGCAGCCATGGTCCCTTGGACTTTGTGCAAAATACTAAATGCTAATTTGGCATTGAGGGCCAGCTTGGAAAAAAGAAAGGGGGCAATCCTTTGTGCAGCCAGCCCTGGGGGTTGGGGTGGGGGGTAGGGGAGAAGGTAGGTTAGGAGGCCCCTGGCCGAGGGGAGAAAAGGGAACACTAGGAAGGAAAAGACCCCCAGTTTGGGGGGACACAGGCACAGGGCAAGTTTCTGTGTATTCCTCTGGGTAGAGGGCAAGCATTCAAGCAGTGGAGATTACAGATCCTCATCCCCAATGCCCTCGAAGGCGAAATTGCCATGGACATCACTGGCACTGGCATCTGTGCTGGGACTGCCAATCCCTCGTAAGCTCACGGCACTCAGCTTGCTCTGTAACAAAGGCAGGGTGCAGGTCAGAGGGCTTGAGCCTTCTGGAGGTCCCCTGCAAACACCAACCTCACCAGTCCCCATAGGTAACTCACTGAGAGTTTGACCATGGACTCCCGGCTGGCATCAGGGGACTCCTGGGGAAGAGGCAGAGATGTCAGAGACCTCACTGGGGGAGGTGGAATAAGGCTGGGAGCCTGGTAAGGACCAGTAATACTTACAAGCAGTGGCGGGGACTTCACTGCTTGCTGACTATCTGAGCGCTTCAGGGTGCCCCCCACCCGCCGGCGTAGCATCTGGGATGGAGATAAGACGCTGATGAGGACAGGATCTCTCTCTTTAGAATCCTAACCCTTTTCTTCCCTCTTGAGAAAAGTCTCATACCCAAGACAAAAAGAAGGGAGAGCGAGAGCCCAATCACTCAGCTGCTTAGTTAGTCCACACTTGCTTCTTACCTTTCTAATGCTGCCACCAGATTTCTTCACCATCAGTTCATCTACCATGGACTGCAAGCATATGCTCATCATGATAGCCTGGAGCAAGAAGAGAGCACAGCTTAACTAGAATGGTCATCCTATTCAAATACCCCCAAGACAAGGGCTTCCATTCACATGGAGTGCTGGAAACCCTAAACTGGGGTATCTAAGAGAGAGGGTGCAATGGGCTCCATAGGAAGCCTGAGGGTGTGTTCATACCTGCGGGCTGGTGATGGTGACCCACTGTAGTCGGTCCTTGCTCATGAGGTATTCGAAAGCCAGTTCCAGGCGCACTTCACCCCGGCCCCGGCCCGGGCTGCTTGTGCCTCCACTGGGAAGTGGCACCTGCAATAGTTAGAAATAGGTTGAGTTCATTCTGATCAATCTTCCTAACCTATGCATGCAACCCATTCTTGAACCTCAAGGTCAGCCAGGCCCCTGCCCAGCAGGTTTTCCCCTTCTGCCCCAACTCACAGAAGATGTAACCCGCCAGCACCGCATGCGGGTGACCCGGAAGGAACCTTCACGGAGTTGCTGGCCAGGCAGGCGGAGCTGGAGGCTGAGCTCACTGTTGCCTGCACTCACGACCACTGGACAGTCCTTCTCTGGAAAGTCAGCCACACAGGCATCAAAGCGCAAGTAGCCATAGTGCCGCAGTGTCTGTGCCAGCCGCAGAAACTGAAATGTAGCCACCCCATGGGGCGGGTCAGGGAGGAGGAGTAGGGCAGTTTGGAGAAAGCAACCCCATGGAGGGAGAAAGAAAAGAAGCTAAGCTGGGCTCACCTCTTTCTTGGAGACCTTCTCTTGCAGAGACTTGAGCTGCCGGTGCTGTTCCTTGGTGACCAGGATCCACCCACGCTCAATATCTGACACCGTCTACAATGGACACAAGGAATAAGGGAGTGGGGGCTCCCAGTCAGAGATCTGAGGAAAGTGTCTAAAATTACCTCTGTCCAGCCTGACCCCTAGTCCCACACTCGAGCAACCTCTTTGTATAAAGTCTTTGATCTTATCAGCTTATAAAGCAGGGACAGGCCAGGTGCCCTGATAGTGTTCTAGGAACTTCTCCGTGAACTGAGAACAAAGACATGAAGGGAACTTTCTTGAGAGTGGGACACCAGAGTCATTTTCAGGGGAGAGGTACTAAGGCAGCTCCAGCTCACCTGAGCATAAAGCAGGTTCAGGCCAACCCGGTTCTCCATGACATCGTCATCATAGGCAGAGTCCCAATAACTGTGAGGCCAAGGAGTGGAAAGGGGTAATGGGGCTAAGCGGGGGTGAGGAAAGTGGAATAATGGAAAATAGGGAGAAAACAGGAGCAATCTAGGACGATAAAGGGCCAATGGTGGTAAGGGACTGGGGTGGGGGGGTGACTTAGAAGGCCTTTTAGAAACATCCAGCTCTACCCCCTTGTCCAGATTATTCTATCTCAACATGTGGCCCAGTAATTCAACCAAGCACCCTCACCCTGCTCCAAGCCCAGCCCTGACCTTTTCCTTAACACAATCTTATACTCTTGACTCCGTAGACTGGTAACAGACACATAAGGCAGCTCAAAATCTTGCAATTTCCGCACAACTATGGGTTTAAAAAAAAAAAAGAAAATGTCATGAGACTCAGAGGAAGGGAAATCAGGAGAGAAGTCCTAAAGAAATGTCTCTTTCTGGTCTCCAAGTAAGGGGGAGGTGAATTCAATACTGGAAGCACAGAACAGTAGTAAAGTCTAGAGAAACTCACAAGAAAATGCTCCATCCTCTTTTTCTCGAACTAGAAAGAGACTAAAGTATCCAATCAAGTCATCTGGAAGATCCAACTTTGCAGCCACGGCCTAGGGACAGGGATAGGAAGTACAGCTTATCATACAGGATGGTTCCAATCACCCCCAAGCGTGGGACCCTGCAGGGGAAAAGGGAAGGAGCAGTACAGAATGAAGGCAGGCCTTACCTCTAAGACATCTTCAGTTTGATCTGAAGTTAGCACATTAACCAGAACTTTCTGCCCGTTGCTAAGCAGCACTTCCAAGGAGACTTCTTCTGTGGGGACCTGCTGTGTCTCCTAGTTGTAAGGAGACATGTGGACAGAAGGCACTGCCTTATTAACCCCTACCCAAGGGCCAGCTGCTACCCATCCTCAACTATTTCTAAATCCCTCTGGTGTCTTTTTGCTCAGCTGCTTAAATACAGGCTGGGTTTCCTTAATTTTATCCTTTCACATTAGTGACAAAGCACTCTTGAGGGGAACACAGGGTCCCACTGGTACCTCCTGAGCTCCTGGAATATGTCTCTAAGACCCATAGAATAGCAAAAAACAAAGACCAAAGGAACTGAACTGAAAATAGGTACAGAAGCTCCATTCCATTAAAAAAAAAAAAAAAATGACTCCTTTGTAGCCACCTCATTAAAATGTCATGGCCCTCCAACACAGTCTTCCTTAAATCTTAGTCTCACCCAAGGCCTTACCTGCTGTGCTCTACGCAGGAAACTATTGAAGGTCTCACTGCTTCCAAGCAATGGGTCTTGCCGAACTGTGGGGACAAGGGAATGATGTTCTAGTAATGTAGGAATCCCCTCGTAGCTCTCTCCAGTCCTCTTCTTGATAGGTCCCCTGACCTCACTTTCTGGGCTGATGATGACCTGCCGCATCCCCCGCTGGCCTCACCTCACTCAATGTTTGCATAAATTCTTCACCTGCCCCACCCTTGGCTACGATCTAGTTGGGTCCAGTTTATAGAACTGGGGAAATAATGATGTTAACCTAACACATATCAGATACAAATTAAGTTTTTCCTCCAATCTAAACTGTTTTAAGAAAATTCAGTGTTACACACCTACTCTTCACTTACTATCTTATTACCAGGCATTTTGCATTTACCATAGTAAAAAATCTATCCAACTACTTTGTGCATTAATGATACACGTCTGTCAGGAGCAATTGCCAAGGTGCAAGGCAAGTGTAATGCTAGCTATGATGGTTAAGGTTTTGTGTCAACTTGGCTGCACCATGATTCTCAGTGGTTTGGCAGTTGTGTAAGGATGTAGTCATCCTCCATTTTCCCATAATGACCTGATCTTTGGAACCTAGCCATGTCAATAACCATGTGGGGAGTGGGTGTAATAGTAGTCTCACAGATCTTGGTGATCAAATTGATTGGCTAGTATATAGCTACACATCCTTGCACACTATTTACTTTTGCTAATTAAATAACAGATCAAACAGAAGGCTCACCATTTTAAAAAGTAAATTTGGGACCTTCTAGAGAACCAGGGAGCTCTTGTGCCATAGTGATTAAAGCATGTGGCTATTAACCAAAAGGCTTGAGGCTCAAACTACCAGCCACCCACTCTGCAGGAAAAAGATAAGGAAGTAAAGATTTACAGCCTTGCAAACTCTTATGGGTGCAGTTCTACTGTGCCCTATAGGGTTGCTGAATCAGAATTAATGGCGTGGGTTTGGTTTGGTTTAGAGAACCAGCTGTTTTCAGTCTCCCCACAGTCCTCAACACAGTCACCTAAAGTTCCCTCCAACCACTCACCAGCTTGCATGTACTTCTCTAACTGCTCCCTCCTCTGTTCTACCTCAGCAGGTGTCAGAGAGAAAAGCTTCTTTGGGGGGAATGCAGGAAGCACATTGGCCCCATACTCCTTCCGGAGCTATTTAGAGAAAGAGACATAACCCTTCACATAAACATAGAAAACGAAAAGAGGAAATTCAGACTCATGATGTTCTCTTGGGCTCCCCTTTCCTTCCCCTAGTCCCTGATCTAGTCCTCCATCTACCATGATCATCTGGGAAATTAATTCCTTTGGTGGAGGCAGCACCTTAAGGGAGCCATTCCTCTTTCCCAGATAGAAATTCTTTCCTATTTTACTGTGTACCCATCAGATCCTTCACAGTGTAGGGAGGGTTTGTATAAGGCCAGGGCCTAGCAGCCTCTTGATGATCTAGCAAGTCTCTGTTCAATGACCCTGGCAGGAAGCAAAAGGGTTTTAAGGAAAACTTAAGTGCACAGATAGTTATCTAATAGCTAGGTATGTTCATAAAGTATCTTAGAACTAAGAGACTCTGGAGATAGTGGGGTTTCAGCTGTAGAAACTGAGGCCCAAGAAATTTGGCACTTGCTCAGGGTTGCACAACTAATTATCAGTAGAACTAGGATTCTGTACTGAGATAAATAAGAGTTCAGCACCTAGTGAAGAAGGCAGAAAAACAAAGCATCACAGATAATATGGCAGTAACTGAACAGCTACATACACTGAAATGGGCCAAACAAAAGGAAATTGGTGAATGGTTTGTATGTACAAGGAAAACAATTTCAAGTAGCAGCTCAGATGAGAAAGGAATGTGCTTTGGGAGTCAGGAGGGGGACGGTTTTTCCATGCATAGGCAAAGGGTGTAAAGCAGTAAGTCTGGAGACAGAGAAAAGCCGGAAAGAATCTGAATATTGGGAGGAGGAGCTTGTTAGCACAGGGGGCATTAAGTTTCTGGAGGAGTTCCAAGGAAATGTTAGACGATTAGATAAAAGCATCGGATCCTTCCCGGAGGCAGTGATTAAAGGGGAATTACAGCCTACAGGAAAGTGAGAGGAAAACATGGAGACACTGATGCCCGTGTGTACGAAAGGGCTTGAGAGGCAGGAGCGTCAGTCCCACCTGCTCGTGCAGCCCCAGGAGCTGGCTGTAGCGCACCCGACAGTGCAAGACTCCATTCACATGAATGTTATAGGCCTGCGAACACAAAAGCAGGCAAGTATTTTAGGGTCCCGGTCAGGGATACCCTCTTGAGAGCCCAGGCCGGAAGTTGCCTAGCATAACCAAGTAACGCGCCGAGATCTTCCGAGGTTTAGTTTGCCTGTCTTCCCAACAGCCAAGCCCCAAAACAGAAAGGCGGGTCTGGGTGAAACTCAGGCGCTCATGCCGCAGTCTCCCTCCCCAAGAGGTCAATGACGCCCTCCAGATAAGCCGCGGCCCATCAGGGAAGGCGATGCGGCCAAACAAAGGACCTACAGGAACCAGGGGGATCTTTGGATAAATCTGACACGTGATATAAGCTCCCTGCGAGGCCGTCAAAAGTCGGTAACTCAAGCCTAGGACGGAGGGTTGGCAGCCAGGCCTCGGAGGCCGCTTCAGGAGGACTCTAGCCCCTTATCCCCGCCCCTGCCCGGCCCGGCTCCGGCCGCTCCTCACCACGTAGGCGGAGCCCCCGCTGTCCCCGCTGCGGGACTCGGTTTCAGGAATAGAAAAGTGCATGTTCCTGGCGGCAGGTCCCGCCGGGTTCCAGACTGTGAGGGCCGCAGAGGCTCTGCACGCTCGCCTCCGCTGCTCAGCGCGTCCCCGTAGCCTCTCTCGCCATTTTGGGCGGCCTGACATTGGATGTGGGAATGGAAGTGGGACGTCCGTTCTGGAGCTCACCTCCCCCGGCATGCTGGGAAATGTAGTAAAGGGTAAAGAAACCATCGCAAATGTTAGCCCAAACTTTAGATGGCCCTCATCACGACCCGTAGCCCTGAGGGAGCCCCAGTGCACGTCAGAGATTGTAGTCTCTTTAGGCTGCGCGCGGTGAGTGTTGGTGGCTTAACCTCCTGCCCAGGTGGCGCTGTAATGCCAACGACAGCTGAGCTAGGCTGCGCCGCGGCCCAGTGACCGCAGGGGGAGGAGCCAAGGACTGAGGGTGATGGCTGCTGTGGCTGTGGCTGTTCGCGACGGTGAGTGGAGGGCTTGGGCGCATCAACACATAACGCGCGCCAGCGGGCTCGGGATAGCTAGTGCCAGGCTTTGTGGGACCAGTCGGCCCGTTCCGGTACCACGCCGGATTCTGATCGCCACAGGCTCAGGCGTAGCCTCGCGTCGCGTACCGGCTGGTTCCTGTGAAAAGAGTGGGTGACCCCCACCTTTCTCCGCCTGTCCTTTGATCCTGCCGCGGAGCGCGTCCCCACGCGGATTGTTGGCTAGTCTTACGCCTAGCCGCAGAGCTGTGGTCATGCCGACCCAGCAGCCGGCTCTGCGAAGTGTTCCCAAATCCTACCGTAGTCCCTCTTGCTCACTTTGCGCCCTGTTTTCTGATGCAGACTCGGGATCCGGGATGAAGGCGGAGCTTTCTTCTCGGCCTGGGGTAAGTGTGGGTACTCTCACAAGCCGCCTCTCAAGACCTTCTTCCTACGCAGGAGGTTCTGTTAGCTTCATTCTGTCCCCACCTCCAACCTAGTTCGGTTCATATCTTGGTAAGAGAAGGTATTACTGACTTCGTTTAGCCCTGACTTTATGTGACTCTGGAGGAGAAACTTCGATTCCTGTGGGATGTAAACTTGTAACAGGGGGCTGTTGAGTCTTGCAGAAGGTTAAAAATTTATCCTTATACTAATTTCGTAAGTATCCAATAGTGCATGTTCATCTCTGGGATTGTTCTTGAAAGAGCAGGATTCTATGTCTGTGTCTCAGGCAGGAGGGAGGGAGCTGACCCAAGAAGAGAAGCTGCAGCTTCGGAAGGAGAAGAAACAGCAGAAGAAGAAACGGAAGGAGGAAAAGGGGACAGAACCAGAAACTGGGTGCACTGTATCTGTGGCCCAGTGTCAAGGTGCGGGACATCAACAGGGCTGGAGTATGGAGCTGGTTGGTAGAGGAGTGTGGCAGTCCGAGGAGGGGGAGACAGGGCAAAGTTGGAATGAGCAAGTGAAAAGAGAGAGACATTGGCTGGGGCACAAGTATTGCCTGCCTGGGGCTTTGCCATCTCTTCCATGTCTACCTTTAGTAGGCCGGACCAGAGAGCTGACAGGGCCCACGGATCAGTTAGGCACTCCTGGGGAGAAAGTTCCAGCTGGTCGGAGTAAAGCTGAACTTCGTGCTGAGCGGAGGGCCAAGCAGGAGGCAGAGAGAGCCCTGAAACAAGCAAGAAAAGGGGACCTAGGAGGACCACCTCCTCAGACCTGCCCCAGCACAGCTATAGAAACACCCTCAGGTATCTTCCCTTCACTTCAAGACATCTGTTACTTCTAATTTTTTTGCTAGCTCAGTTTTCCCTAGACTAAAACAGCTTTTCCCTCCTGTTCATCCCCTTGAAACCCAGAGCTCAAAATTTTAACTTCCTTCATCCTACACCAATTCTTTATTTTACCCTATTTCCCTCTGATTTTTTTTTTTTAAATCCTCTTTTTCTGGATGCTCCTTCTCCTCTGAGAACAAATTACCCACTATCACCCACAGTTTCTTGAGAACATGATCATTATCTTTTAGGAGTGAAACATCTCCCTGAGCACACTCAAGTTGATGACCCCACACCTCTGAGAAGGCTTGTTAAGAAACCAGAGCGACAACAGGTAGGAAGTGAGTTTGAGGTATAGCCAGAAAGAGCCTAGGGAGATGGGGTAGAGGGAAGAAAGGTGTTGGATAGTTATTTGGGTCAAAGCAGTCTCACTGTTCACTTCCTTTTCAGCTTTATCCCGTAAGTTTTAAACTTTGGGCCATTGGTCCTGTTTTCTTGTTTTCTCAAGGTTCCTACACGAAAGGATTATGGATCCAAAGTCAGTCTCTTCTCCCATCTTCCCCAGTATAGCCGACAAAACTCTCTGACACAGTATATGAGGTAGGAATGTATGAAATTGTATTAACTTTTAAGTCTGAGGATTTTTTTAGTATTCAATATTGAAAGTGACTGAAAGTTAAAGGTTGGATCTGGGAGGAGGAGTATGGATTCAAGGCAATACTCTAGAAGAAATAGGGGAGTCTGTGCTAGTGAAGAAAGTTCCTTTTCATCAGGGGCAGGTGGGCAGTAGGTGCTCAAGCTCCCTTGCAAAGTGTGTGACACAGCCATCCCATCAGCATCCCATCCTCTGTGATCCACCCAGCCATGGTGCAACTCGGCCTACAGTACTCCCAGGGCCTGGTCAGTGGCTCCAATGCCCGGTGTATTGCTCTGCTCCATGCCTTGCAGCAGGTATGCCTCATCTTGTTTCCTCTTACAATCCTGCCCCACCTTCCCCAACACTACCTCAGCTTCTCTTACCCAAGGCAACTCTAGGAGAAGGAAGGAATGACTCTTAGAGTACTTTCCTCAATGATTATCCCCAGCCCCCTTCCAGAGACCTTCATTTGGGACATTTTGTTGATCAACTTGTGTACTTGATAGGTGATTCAGGATTACACAATACCTCCCAATGAAGAGCTTTCAAGGGATCTAGTGAATAAACTAAAACCCTACATCAGGTAAGGACAACCACTACAAGTCTACTCCCACTTCACTCAATCATTGTCTGTACCCTTTCTCTTGCTCTTCTAACTTTCTTTTCATTTTTTGTTCTGTTTTCTTTCTAAATAATTTTTTTTTTTTTTTAAATGTGAAAGCTTTGTAAGTTGTAAAGAGTTGCACACATGTAAGGTATTGTTGTTGTAGTTTCCTGACTCAGTGCCGTCCCCTGTCAGCGAGCATGTACAACGCCATCAAGTTCCTTAACAAGGAGATCACGGGTGTGAGCAGCTCCAAGCGGGAAGAGGAGGTGATGAATATGAGAAATGAGAAAGGCATGCAGCTAGAGGGTAGAGTTAAGAAGTATGTTTAGGACAGTTCCCCAAGAAGGGAATGAAAGCCATCTTGTCCCAGTCAAGGGTTAAGGAAGTGGTTGGACAGTTCTGACTTGTATAGCCTTTGAGCATATCATTATACATATATTCAAGTATCTGGCTTGATAATCAGGAAGACATGTTCATTTCTAGGCCAAGTCTGAACTTCGAGCAGCCATTGATCGGTATGTGCAAGAGAAGATTGTTCTTGCAGCTCAGGCAATCTCACGGTTTGCTTACAAGAAGATCAGTAATGGAGATGTGATCCTGGTATATGGATGGTAATATGATCCAGAGAAGGGTACTGGGAAAATTGGGGGTGTGGAATGGTCTTTTGGGAATAGGCTGGGCATTAGTTAGTAGCATTTATAGCTGAATCCTCTCCATTCCAGCTCCTCACTGGTGTCGAGAATTCTTCAGGAAGCTTGGGCTGAGGGCCGACGTTTTCGGGTGGTGGTGGTGGACAGCCGGCCACGACTAGAAGGAAGGCATACCCTACGTTCTCTGGTCCGTACTGGGGTCCCTGCCTCCTATCTGCTGATTCCTGCAGCTTCCTATGTGCTCCCAGAGGTGAGGGCAGGGGAAAGGTACTCCAAAGTTGGAATTAAAATGGTGTAATAGTATAGGCATCATACTTTCCCAAAATAATAATTATCTAGAAATATTAGAATTATAGGCTTTCTTTATATTTAATAGCTAAACCATCTATGGCATGCTTTAGCACAGTCTGGCTATTGAAAGCACATTGTATTAAATTACAAATCACAAGAGGGAACAGGGCAAAAGTAACTTCAGAGTTTAGTTTTGTTGTTAGGTTGGTGGTTAAGGTATATTCAAAGGAGAAGAGCCATCATTAAGATTTGTTACTAGTTTTGATATTGTGAGCCTAAGCAGAAGTGGGGAACCTTATTCTGCATTGTATGATATTTTTCCTTCCTCCTCCCCACTCCAAAACAAACAGGTTTCTAAGGTGCTGTTGGGAGCTCATGCACTCCTGGCCAATGGGTCTGTGATGTCACGGGTAGGAACAGCACAGCTGGCCTTGGTGGCTCGAGCGCATAATGTGCCAGTGTTGGTCTGCTGTGAAACGTACAAGTTCTGTGAGCGTGTACAGACTGATGCCTTTGTCTCTAATGAGCTAGGTAAGGAGGCCCAGGAGGGCAAGAGAGAAGGTTGCAGGGGACCTGAGAAGATTGGAGAGGGAGGGGGAGGTTAAAATACAACTTGTTTTCTAAAAGGACATGAATGGGTATACCTCCCATTGCAGATGATCCTGATGATCTGCTGTGTGAGCGGGGAGAACATGTGGCCCTGGCTAACTGGCAAAATCACCCATCCCTACGGTTGTTGAATCTGGTCTATGATGTGACCCCCCCCGAGCTCGTGGATCTGGTGATCACAGAGCTGGGGATGATCCCTTGCAGTTCTGTACCTGTTGTCCTCCGAGTCAAGAGCAGTGACCAGTGAAGGACGGGGTTGTGACACAGGGTCAATAAATGACATAATCCCTTCACTGAGGAACTCTGCTGCTTTTGTATCTCTTTTAGTGCTACAGTCACATAAGTTAGGGGGCTAGGTTCCCCAACCTTTTTAACACCTACTACCAACCTAAAACCTTTATGGAGCCTCTCTCAGGTGAGCTAGAGCTCCACGCCAGTGCTTTGGAGCCAAAGTGAAGGTCAGTTTGGAGACCAAAAACTGTCCAAGTTATTAATCATTTATTGAGCATCTATGTGCTAGACACTGAGATAGATAAGAAGGGAAATATAAGGACAAATATGACTCCTATCCTAGGTAGTAGTTTAGCTGGCATTTATTGAGTACTTAATGTGTGTCAGAAACTGCTTTAAGCCTTTTCTACTTCTTTAGAAAGATTAGTACAACTCTGTGAAATAAGAATTTACAGATGAGAAATCTGAGGCACAGCGAAGTT